CAGCTTTCAGACTTGTATACTCTACCACTTTCTGAAAATATTCACCAATTTATTCAACAATGGGCTCTTGAAGAGCTTGACATTTTTAGTATCCACAAGCTTATGCAGTTTCGTACAATTGAGCTGCAGAATCAGGTTATTATAATTTTTTATTTTATAATTTAAATTTATTTTTTTATATACATACTAATTTTTTTTTTATTTTTAATTTTTTTTACTTTTAGGTTATTTCACTGAGAAATTCTGAAAATAATGTACAAAACATACAAATGCTGCATGATGGATTAATAACATGGGATGATATTTATACTTTAGTTTATAACACAATGAAGATATCCGCTTATTTTGATAATAATGAGTTTTATTCCTTAGAAAAGTGGCAGGATAAAATAATAAGTAAAGATGGGGTTTGCTTGTTTAAAAAGTATAATGATATAGATGATATTGGGTTTGTATTCACATTTCAAACCAAAGAGCAAAGGGAGTTAATGAGTCTCGCATAAGTTGTATGTTTAGATGGTATATATGGAACAAACTACCATAGGTATCATCTATTTACACTTATTATATGACATCTAATTGTAGATACTAGATATCTAATCACATTTTTAATAAGTGAATTTAGGCGGACGTCAACATTAAAAGTGTGGTTTAATTTCTTAAAACGTAAAAATGAGCAATAGAAACCAGACATTTTTATGGTTGATGATGCAGGAGAAGAAATTAAGATGTATCAGGTGTGTTTCTATGCCATTTTCACGTTTTAAGAGCTTGGCGCAAAAAATTGTGCCAAAGATGTAACACTGATAATAATTTACACAAAATCATTTGGGAAGACCTCTGGAAATTGCTGAAGACAAAAAGATGAAATGATGCAGAGGCCCAAGAATGTTTTAGAGAAATGATTCACAAATGGAGAGAAATAGATGTTAAAAAATAAGTAATTTTGCTAATTACTTTGATTATTGGTGGAGGCCGAAGTATGAAATGTGGATGATTTGTATGAAAGGAACTTCTAGAGATACAATGGATACAAATAATCTAATCGAATCATTCTATCATAAATTAAAATACACCTATATGAGAGGATGACCAGGCAAGAATTGAAATTAGTTAAAACTTTAATTTATTAAGTTAACTGATTATACCAATTATATTGTTAACTATTAACTGACTAGATTATTTATTTATTTATTTATTTTAATTTCTTTATTTTATTATTATTTTTTTTTAGCATATTTATATTTTTTATTATTATTTTTTTTTATTTTTATTTATTTTTATTTTTTTTGTTTTATTATTAACATTTTTTTAGTTAGCTAATTGTGAGTATTATCTTTCCTTATAGGTTAACGTCTTGATGGAGAAGTATATCTTCTTGTAGAGGTCATATTTTGTGATATAAATTTTTCAGTGTTTTTAAATAAACTCAAAATTAGCAGAATGTATTCGCGACAAAGACAACAACGAATTTGAGAAATTGCAGGTACTATAAATATAAATGATAGTAATATTTATAGTATGTAACCTAGTATTTGGATAGTGCATTCTCTAATGAATGAAGATATCGAATACACAGTCTGAAAGAAAGATGATGGTGAAAATAGATTTGATGTCACCTCTTATATTTGTAATTATCATGATTTTCAATCACGACAATTACCATGCAAACATGTGTTTGTCATGCTAACATGAATTAATGTAAATAACAAAGTTAATGTGAATAACGAAGTTGAAGACGATCATCAACCACCTGTAGAATCTATAAAATCAAACTTCTTTAATTCTTTTGATTCTTCCGCTTCTTATAGTCATATAGACCAAGATGATAATAATTTTCAACTTGCAAAATTGCAAGAAGAATTATCTGCAATTGTTGCAGAATGGAAGAATAAAAAAGGAACAGACATTTATAATCTTCGGATAGCTCTTCAACAAGCTGTTCAAGCAGAAAGAGCAAGAATTGCAAGGATTGAATTTGTTTCACAAGCTACTGGTGATGAGCCAAATATATGCCAAATAGATCAAATAGCACCAAATACTAAAATAAGAAACCAAAATAAGTATTAATTTTTTTTTGTATGTATGCATATGAATTTACTAATTAGCAAACTAGTGGATTATTTAAAGTATAATTTATTTATTTGCTGCATGTATCAACTTGAAATATTTAACTAATTAACTCATTGAAGCAAAAATGAAAAGTTGCAACCCTATAATCGTGTAAAAAAATACATTTTCATAGAGTCGAATAGTAAATAGTAATGAAAAAAAATAGTTAATTGTTAAGCATGTAAGAACTGTGAGATAATCAACGGGGACGCATATTGAAAATCAATATAATCAACTGGGACGCATATTGAAAATTGATAATGAGCCTTTTTTTTTTTTTAAAGTTTTTTTTTTTAAGTTTTTTTTTTCTTTTTTTTCCTAAGCTAATTTTTAATTTTTTTTTCTTTCTCTTTCTTTTTAACCCGCATGTTTTGAAATTTTACTTTTTTTTTTTTTTTTTTTTTGGATTTAAAGCCTAATATGGCTTATGTGGACCCGCCTTGTGTTAGTTTTTATATAAAATTTAGATGAGATAAAATGCGCATTAATACACACGATTGAAGAATCATGCGCACGCATGAAACCCATCTCTAATAGTAAGTTATTAGAAAGTTTGTAAATATAGATTCAAAAAGTTTATTATTCTTGAAAATGAAATATCGAAAATCTTTATTAAATCAATTTATTTGGTGAAGCACTTATTCTCTAAGTTTAAATTGAATTCTCGATTATTTTTAATTTTTGCACGCAAAAAAAATTCAGTTAAATAATAAAATGGTTTAAATTAAGAAATTTTCGCTTCAAATAAAGATTGAACACACATTAAAAAATAATTTTTATGGCACTGCGTGAAGATGGAATTGAGTAAAGATGGAATGGCGCATTAAAAAATAAATTTTTATATCATTTAAAAAATGAAGATTGAATAACGCATTAAAAATTTTTTTTAAATTTTTTGTGATAACATGATCAGGTTTGTACAATTAGAGATAGATTTCATGCGTCCAATCAGAACTATGGGGAGAAATTAGGGCTCCCACTCATTACTAACCTCATTCGGGAAATACTGATTAATTACTCATGTGTAGTGTTTAAAATTCAAATTTAGGGTGCTCTCAAGCATCTTTCTCAGTATAATTAGCTAGTTATAGAGATCGTGCACAAGTACTACTATTAATTGAAGTAATCCTTATGGTAATTTTGTCGAAGATTCATGCTGCGAAATGCGGATATTAAATTTTAGCTAATCAATACAACTCTATGATTAAAAAAATTGTCTCTGGCCATCCTTTTTTTCATCGCGATATTTTTCATTAATTAAAAATTGAACTTAGGCCTATTAATTTAGATGCTTGAGAACACCCTTAAATTAATGTTCTCAAAGAGCTTAATTTAATTTTAATGTTCTCAAAAATTTAGGTTCACTAGTGCTTCTAAAGGGTTGTGATAATTCTGATAATTCAAATTCAAAACCAATCCCGAGACTCTATGCCTACTTGAGTGCCAAATTATAATTATTACTTAATTTTATAAAATAATTTTATAATAATAGAATTATACAGTACATAATACAAATTTATAGATATCAAAATACATCTAATTTTGGGTTAGGTCTACCCTAAACTCGATCTAAATAACCCTTTAGGAACACTATACTTTATGTTGAATTATATTGAATATATTTTTTTGAGAACATTTTGAAGATTAAAATATTCTCAAATAAGAGAACCTTATTTTAAATATATTCTTAAAAAAAATTTTAATGTTCTTTGAGAACCATAGGAACATTGAATTTTAAACACTGCTTATGTGACTGTAACCGGGCTTGTTAAGTCTGTTCATGTGCTGATTCGAAACAAAGCTGCTTCGATACTATCGTATATAGCAACTTTAAATTCGAATATGCAAATTGCTTGGCTTCTGTAATCAAGCAAGTTATTTAATTAGATTCACATATTTGAACACTAATTGAGTAGTATAGATAGTATAGACCTTTAATCGCACACAAAATGTATAGACTTTATTTCTTATAAATAAAACGCCTTTGGTACCTTACAAAGGCGTATTTTGCCATTTTAAAAATAAGTTCGTTACAAATATATTATAACTATCTCTAACAATCGCAATTATAATACATAAACTTATTGCTAAGATTATTATTAATCCTATCTATATTGTTCCAACAATCCTGAATCATGAGGTTGTTGTGGTTGTGATTTTTTTTTTCTTTTTTTTAAAGCGAGGTTTTCCTCAATTTTCTTCATTGATTTCTTGATATGTAGGTATATTACTTTACAAATGTGTTACATAAACTATCTATAGAAAATTAAGACTTGGGCTAGTTTACCCATGACCCAAACAATGCCAAGAGGGGCCGAAGCCTCGCTTAGTCGAAGATGTTCGCGATGTAATCGTTGACATGCTATGATAAGCAAACAGGTCTGCCATTTATTTAGCCTTGGTGTGCACTGGTATTCTTGCTTGTTTCTGTATATCTTGTATCAGTTGTGGCTTCAGTTGGCGTTTCTTTGTTGTTATTTGTAGTCTGGATATTTGCGTTGGTATCTTCCATATCTTTTCGTGTATTCTTTTGCTGATCTTGTGAAGTATTGTGCATGCTAATTTATGGTTGTAATTTTGTTTGATTGTTTGATAGTCTCGAAGTAGTATAGATTACTCCAAAACTTTGTCCGCCACTCGCCAAATCTAACACGCCTCTTTCGCATCCGAACGCTTTTCGTTGGCTACACAAAGCGAATCTCGTGGAGTGACTGACTCGCTGTTTTTAGAGTTTTCAATATAAAGATCCATCCCGAACATTTTTTGAATATCAACAAAAATCAGACAAAGTCAAAGCAAACTTTTATAGAGTATTTATCTAAATGCAATATTAAACATTAAATTTTGTCTATTAAACTAGGTATCTTTAGTTTTTGTTTACTAGAGGTTTATTGTTCGATATTGATTTTATGTAGTTCACAATATTTCAAAGCCTCTTGATTTTTTTGATACGCAGCAAGCCTTAAATAGCGCGCACCTTCCTCTTTGTCTCCTACCTCTGCTGAACTTTCATATAAAATACTATGGCCATTATCAGCGGACTTTCTAAGAACTTCAATAGCAAGTATTTGATCTTTTTCGATTCCTTGTCCATTCCAAAGACATATACCATATATGGGGTGCGGACAATAGAAACAGCCCATTTTTACATTTTTTTAAAAATTGAGTTTTTATTAGATTCATATAAA